ACATACATTGCTTAGTCAACCTATAAGTTTACTCAAACCTAATCCCTTAGAGAAAGAGCCTAGGTGCGGACATTGAATATCAATCCCTTGAGTACCCAATATCTACACCCGCATTACGGGCTAGGGTTTAAGACTACTAATGGGTCAAGCTCTATCCCTAGATACAATCTCCACTAGGCATATGTTCCAGAACTAGTTTCAATGGTATTTCCCAATACTCAATGGAACCTTAAATCATGCAAAGGGTGATCAATCCAAAGCAAGCATTAAGCATAGAAACGTACACAACAATGAATGAGCAACATATATATATCATTGAAAACGTAAGGATTACACTAGAATGCGTTGGTTACATCTAACCCCAAAAAAATGGGTGGAACCACTCAACCCTGAGGGTAAATACAAAATAGAGATAAAAGGAAAAGTGAAGAACCGAAGGAAAGATCCACACAGGAACGTTCCCAAGCTCTGAGAATTCCTTCTACAGCTCCAAGGAGGCGCCCCTGCATGAATGAGGGAGAAACCCTCAAAATGGCTTCAAATACGAGCTTGGGGAGATCAGATTAGGGTTTCGCGCCCGGCGCGTAAGTCTTCTCGCCCGGCGCGGGGCCTTCCAGAGAAGTTGAGCACTATCTGCCTCAGGACACGCCCGGCGCAATTTCCTTTTGCGCCCGGCGCAATGTCTTCCAGAGAGTTTGAGCTACTCTCTGCCTCGATAGCGCCCGGCGCGTGTAGTCTCGCACCCGGCGCAGGTGTCACTTGCAGAGGTAAGACACTCTGTTCTGCTGAAGCCCGACGCGGGTCATCTTACGCCCGGCGCAGCCACTCTGCTCTGTTCCTTAGCTCCTTAGATTTCCAATCCTAAGGTCTTCAATCCTCAATTCTCTAGCTCAATACCTGCACAAAAAATGAGGTGTATTAAAGTATTGTTAGCTAAATTTGGGTTAGTTATATCTGTACACAAAATGAACCAAAAAGAGAACAATTATATTGCAATGGTTCAAAGAATGAGTGGAATTGCTCATTAAGCCTTGTCCAAAAAGAAGTAAAATTGAGACTTAACACATATTAATTAATTTCTATCTTTTTGCATGTAATTATAAATATATCAACCACTTAACCCACAACTATGGCAAGTAATACATGTGTTCATATACAAAAACTTGGTTACACAAATGAACAGTGTGACCAACCAAATTTTCATCAAAACACATAGAAAATATGAAGTAGTACATTTCATATGAACAATCGACAAGAATATTGTTTTTTTTCTTGTTAATTGATTTAATCTACCTAAATTATTCTTGACAATATTGATTAAGAATCAAGTTTAAGAAGGTTTTATGAAATTGATGTATTTTAGATGGAAAAGAAATTCTCCTAATCTGAAATTAAAATTAGGTCAAATATAATAATGTAAAAAAAAGGATAAAAATACAAGTAAATATTTTAAATAATATATCAATTTTTTATTGGTGCAACACCTATTTAAACGTAGTTTTTCTGGTCATATCAAATGTGATTAGGTGGTATTCCACATTCTTTTATGTTCTTTAAAACAATTATACATTAATAGAAGAATTTCTTGATTTAATCAATACAGCTTGACATAAATCATATTTATATTATTAATTTTGAGATCTATAAAATAAAACATACCTTGATTTAAGTTTGGTATTTCTAAACTGTATTTATTTAATTTATATGTAATGTTCAGATTAGATTGACCGAATCCTGCTTCATATGTACACATAATCAAGTTCCTTCTTTTAGAAAGGTTATATACGAGTTCTTGTTTTGATAAATGATTTTATCATCATTTGATCAACAACCCTAGAGTGAACCACTGTCCATTGCATTATTCCACTTGATTTGGATTTTTTTTTTCCCTTTCAAAACCCGACTCTGTCACCATTACATCTGTAAGCAAAACCGTTCTCAGCTCACTGATGACATTTAGAACTATATATCAGATCATATTGATAGTAGTAATTACGTGTGCTGAGAGTATGAGTGAGATTAGGAAATAACAAGCAGGCGAAAAGGGAACGTTAATGACAATGCGTTGACATAACAGTGATCGGGTGGTTATTGTCTACGCTACTCCTATACAGCTCGAATAATGCGTTGTCTTCGTGTGGTCTATTCTATACAAAAAATAATAGGGATCGGATTAATCTCATCCTTAAAAATATTATACTTCCTTTAATTTTTATTATAAAATATTTTTAACCAAAGTATACAAACTAATGTAAACAAGTATATTAATTAATTTTATAAAATTTATATAATAAAATTATGATTTATCAAATTTATCTTTCTTATATAATATTAAAATTTCATGAGAAAGATAGAGATATTATTCTATATCAAAACTTATTTATTAATACTAATAAAAATAATATATATCAATTACAAAGAATTTAAAATTTGAGGAAAAAAAAACTCAATTTTTAATAGAGATAAATAAAAATAATAATTTAATATTTCGTAAAAACTATAAGATGTTTTATCAAAATTTCTAAACTATACACTATAATAATCAACAGAAATACTTTCTTAGCTTTCTTCATGCAGTACATCATGGTCCTGATTTTTGCATTAAACTACCAAACCCGTTGTTTTCTGCCCACCTTTTTACCTTCTCTTGTTGAACACTTTCTGTTTTCCTCACAAAAAGCAGTACAAAACCAGATGAAATCTTTTATACTTATTTGTAAGCTACAAATATACTAATTTCTATTGTCACAAAAGCTTGTAAGTTATGGCCTTTTATATGCAATTCTCTGCACCTTACCGGCAAGTTAAATCGAACTTAGGTTTAATTTAATATCGCGTTCTATCTTTTTCTTCTTCTTTTTTTTATACATTCGATCTATTTTAGTTGTTTTTTATTCATAGATGAAAAATACCCACAGTTTTTGCAGTATATGTAAAAGGCGAATCATATGATGGTATTAGAGAATTCAAGAGTCTCTCTGCAGGCATGAACTTTATTTTTTAATCTCATGAATGTTATTCTTCCTTCCAGTTTTTTATTGTTAATGTATAAATGTTGATTTTTGGCTATTCTTGATTTTCAGTAAGCCTGTTCGGTTGATGACGAATGGCCTAAAATGGTGGGTCCAGCAGATTTCTCAAACTAATTTAATTATGTATTGCCAATATAAAAATTATTTATTCTATGATCCAAATACAGATGATCGATTATATATATGTTAAGATGTGATGATAGTAAAATTAAAATGTATTGACTATATACTTAATAATTATTTTTAAAATTATACTTTGAATGATTTCTAATCAGGCTCTGATAGCGGATGTTTTCCATAATAGTTCAAAATATATTAAACTAATTTATATAAACGCTTAACTACTTTTTTATAATTAAACAATTTTCATTAATTTATTCTTTTCTAACCTTTTTGTTTTTTGTTTTTTTTTTCTCTTCGTTTCTTTCTTGTTTAGTGTAAATGATTTTTAAAATGGGATCCAGGCGCATACTATATCAGAAAAGAGGATCATCTAACCAAGCTGACTCTGTCGTTTTCATCTTGAACAATTCTAAAGTTGAATACTTAAATTTATGAGCAAATATCTGTCGTAACTTGTAATAAATGACGGTCGTGTACTGACAAACATATTGGACAAATATACATTCGATACGGTCAGCCAGCGATCTTCGGTGGCGATTGGTGAACCTAGCACAGCGTCTCTTTAGTTTAAACTACCAATTAGAGCCATTTTCAAAGTATATTAATTTTCCTTTTCGCTTAAATCATTCAAACTGCTTTATAGAATATATGAAAAGCAATACGCAAATACTATATATTTTGACTTTTAAAAACCTGCCAGATGTTTTAAGAGTTAAAAAAAAACAAAACAAAAAAAAAACCACCGTAAATTGTTAACTGAAGTCAATGAAAATTGTAGTATATATTTCAGGAAAATTACTATAATATATTTTCTCTTAAATGTTGCTACACCTATTTGTTTAAGCGAACAACTAATATTAATATGTTATTACATGAAAATTATTATTGTAATTGTCATACATCTTATAATGTTTTAAAAATTGTCATTAAAAATTACTTTGTCTGTATAATAAATATAATATATTATTAAAAAATATAAGTATAGATCATAGTTTATTATATAATTTATTATTAAATTTTATTTAAAATTAATATTAAAATTGTGTGTAATTATATATCAAATAAATAATATTTATAAATATTGTACCTAAAGTGACATATTTTGTATGTAACTGTATGTCATATTTCTTGTAGTATGTGTACATATTTCTCACATTTTATTATTTTAAAAAAAATTACATTAAAATATAATGAATACTATTATATATATATATATACTATCTATAAGTTTCTAATAATTATTTAATTAAAGTTATAATTTCATTTTAGTAATAGGAAGTTAATTATATTAATGTTTAATTTTGATTAATTAACAATATTAAAATATTTAAGCTTTTACACTTAATTTTTTGTCCTACTAATTATTTGGAATAACATAATACAGTAATTAATGAAGAAGAAAAAGGCGTGCTAATAAGTATCTTAAGGCCACCCATTAAAAAATTATAACAAATAGAAATTGCTATTGAAAAATTTGGTGGAAATTCATTCAAAATCATGATGTATTAACAACTCATTTTACATTAAGAAAAAAATCTTCTTGAGGTTACTCATTATCATTCCCTTTTAAAAAAAATAAGATTCTCTTAACCTTTTAATATTCTCAATTTGAGCTAAATTTCTGGTGGCTGTCGTTGATCGGTCACTCTTGCCCTGCCGTGTTCTTATCAAAGTAAAACCACTTGTTCAATTTTAAAGGTAAATTACATATTACTGTAGCAAGGTATCGTTAGCACGTTTCTATCGTGTGTATGTGTGTTTATTTCTCACCCTATAGTTTATTTAAATTTTTCTCTCTAATATATTTACTATATATATGGTTCCATATATCCCCTCTTATATCTCATTCTCAGGTCATAATATTTCTGTGGTTTCTGAATTATACCTTTCATCTCTCTCTGAACGTGAAACAAAAATATATAGCACCATATGGAACACCTTAAAGAAGAGCAAGCAGAACCAGTTAGTCCTATGGGACAATACTTCAACAGCTCTGTGTTATGCATATACATAATTGGAGTTTTAGAGTTTGAAGTTCCAATACATGACTTGCAAACCTTGGCTCTTATTAAAGATGTTTTCATTCCCATCAATCCACGCTTCTCCTCCGTCATGGTTATTCCTCTCTTTTTAGCTTTTTTCATTATAAGTTTATTTGGATATAAATTTTGAAGTCTTTAAGAGTTTTTTAATTGAAAAATATAATTTATTTTTAATAAAAAAAATTCTTAAAATTATTTTTAACTTATATTCAATCAAGATCTATACTTTATCTAAGTTTTTTTTTACTAATCATAATATTAACAACTTTGTCATTGGTTAATTTCGGATAAAAAATTTAAATATCATTTTTAGTGAAATTTTCCTTTCAAATAACATTTTATTCATGAAACTCAAAATTAAAACATTAAATAAAGAGATCGAGTTCAATTTTCATTAGAGCAACTAGTTTTTAATATATATTGTTATATTTGTTTTAATATCACGATTATCTGCATAAGAATACTATATATAGCGAGATGATATAATTTAAGATATATAAAACACAAATTTTGTAATTCCACAAGGCTATTAATAGTTTGCATTATAATTTTGCTTTAATTTTTTCTTTGTTTACTCAACATCTCGTAAGTATACCAAGCTTGATCATTAATTTATGAAGTCTGATTGGCATTGTTCAAATGTATGAAACCAGATCCAAGATAAAGATGGAGAGAAACGATGGAAGCAAGTTGATGTGAATTTGAAAGACCATGTCCACTTTCCCATATTCCCCTCAGGCAAAACAGTGGAATCATATGACAAACATTTTCATGATTACTTATCAAGCATAGCAATGGAGCAATTATCACAAAGCAGACCTTTATGGGAAATTCACATTATCAATTACCCCACAAATGATGCATCTAGCAGTGTAATATTTAAGCTTCACCATGCACTTGGAGATGGTTATTCTCTAGTTGGTGCACTTCTTTCTTGTCTACAAAGAGCTGATGATCCCTCTCTTCCCTTGTCCTTTCCTTCTCTAAGACCATCAAAGCCAGAATCATCAACCAAAAGCTTTTGGAGAAGATTTTCTTGGATGTTGTCCTCTGCCTTCAACACTGTCTCAGATTTTGGATGGAGTATATTGAAGAGTAGCATCATTAGTGATGATAAAACACCAATAAGGTCCGGAGATGAAGGAACCGAGTTTCGCCCAATTTCCATAACAAATATGGACTTCTCCATTGATCATGTCAAGGAAATCAAGTCCAGGTTGGGAGTGGTACGATGAAATTCTTTTATTCTTGAAATTTTCTTTCTCGCTTTCAACTTTTTGCTTTGCCTATCTATGTTAGAGCACCTACTTTTTACAATGCATAAATGTACATGTGTCCAAGAAATAATATTTTTTTCAAATTGTGACGGTGGTAGTAGGAACTTGGTTAGTTTGTTGTCGAGCTTTATATCTAACTTGACACCATATAACACTAAATTACATTATGGAAAAGAACATACTCATCTATTTTTAAAGTAGTTATTATATTCATTTGTACATGCAACTTTTCTTACAACACTATTTTCTTTGTATCTTTCTCTTTATCTCTCATGACATTAGTTATATATATATATATATATATATATATATATATATATCAGTTTTTCTATTTTTTTTCCAACTTTTCCACCAAAAATGGAGTGCACTTTTCACATTTTTTTCTTCTCTTTTATAAGTCCAAGGTGATGTATACAATAAACAATTTCTCCCATTAACTTCATGCAGTTAATTTTACATCTCATTTACAAATTGATTTGAATAATTTTTATATAACATTATATATAGAGAGAGAGCGCTAAAAGAGTTGTCCACGTACTTGGCAATATTGCATTAAAAATATGATTTGCACTTGAAATCTATAAATGCTTGAAAGTTTAGAAAAATAATACAACCATGTTTATTATTAAACCCTCAGTAATGAAAAGTGTTTTTATAATTAAGCACAACTTTGAATTAATAATGTAAAGATCTTTTCTTGGTATGCTTTGACATCAGATTAATTAATTATCTTCCTTGCATGATTCTCTCTAATGGCAGACTATAAACGATGTGATAACCGGAATCGTCTTCTATGGGACTCGGTTATATATGCAAGACATGGACTTGAAGTCAATGACGGCAGACTCCACTGCGTTGGTCTTATTGAATACGAGAAACATCGAAGGTTACCAATCAATAAATGACATGCTCAACACTAAAGCCAAGGGTCTATGGGGGAATAAGATTTCCTTCTTGCATGTACCAATACCCAAATTGAATCAAAACAAAATTTCAAACCCTCTAGATTTTATTTGGGACTCTCATAATGAAATCAAGAGAAAGAAACAATCTTTGGCGGTTGCCCTCACTGGGACACTTTTGGACATGGAGAGTAAGTTCAGAGGACAAGAGGTTGGTACCTTAATTAATTTAGTTAAACTGATTTATCTTGATTTCCGTCAGTGTTTTTGTTCATTTAACTTTTAGGTTTGCTTCAAAAATAGTGTATTTAATTAAGAACTTCAATCAGAATGCTACAACAAAGTTGGTTATAATGTTGTTGTAGGCAGTAGCTAAACACCTTCGAGGGACAGTGACGAATTCAAGTGCAGTGATTTCAAGCTTGGTTGGACCGATGCAACAAATGTCTTTAGCTAATCATCCTGTGAAAGGCTTGTACTTCACATTAGCCGGTGGACCTGAGGTATCCTAATTAAGAACTAATTGTTTAAATAATTTTCAAAAGTAGTTCTGTGAGAGAAAAATAAAATAAAAATTCAAAAATTAAAATTAATTTATTCATAAATTAATTTGTAAAATTCTTTAATATCAACTTTTTCAAAAATTTGTTTTTAACTTAGTTTATAAGGATATTTGTTTTAATTTTTTTCTTATTTTCTTCTCTTATAAAAGTATATTGAAAAATTTATTCAATTTTACGTGATTAATCATGTGAGAAGAAGTGGTAATAGTGGGATGTGTTCGAGGGAAACAAAAAAAATAAAAAAGAAATAAGGGTACAATTTTCATTTTTAATAAATATTTATTAATTTGATAATTTTTTTAAAATGAAAGAAATAAAATAATATTGTTACATAAATTGAATATCTTAATTTCTTTATTTTATAAATAATAGAAAAAACAAAAAATAAAAAGACATTTTGGAAGACTTTCTCATTTATTTGCTTTTAAGGCAAGTTTTTTAATTACCCCGAAGATTTAGTTGTGGAGAAATCATATGTATGATCTCTATTTAAACATCGTTTAATTCTATGGTTTGCAGAGTCTTGCCATTTCAATTATGAGCTACGTGGGAGTGCTTAGAGTTACCCTTAAAACGGAAAAAGACTTCATAGATGAACAGAGATTGAAGTATTGCATGCAAAGTGCATTTCAGATGATACTCAAAGCAGCTACGGGAAATTCCTGACAAAAAGAAATACATTAGCGTCATCCTCACCAAAGTACAAGCAGTCAAAATTCTTGTATGTGTTTGGAGAATTGAAATTGCTTAATTATTAATCAATTTCTTTTTTAAAAAATATGATGTTATTATTTCATATATCGGTTTGATGAACGCCTTAATTATGTAAACAATATGTTGTGTGTATGCTCTGATACTTAATAATGTAATCCATTTTTATATGTCTACTTTGGATGTTTGATTAATGATGTGATATAATATGTTATATTAATAATTAATATATTAGTAATTAAAATCTTATATTAGTGATCAATTAATAATATTAAACAGTTAACTGATTAATAGGTAAATAAAGTATGTAAAATTTTTAAAATTGAGTAGAAAGATGCGCAAATTCAAATATTGAGTAGCAAAATTCATGAAATAATAGAATATATGTAAAAACAAAAAATACAATTAAGCTTAAAATTAACCGATATGGGTAACTGACATTCTATATCAATTATTGTAACAATGATTACTTGTAAAATGTCTACTTATTTATAAAAATGTGTTGCATTCCTTTTACATCGGTAATTAATAAATCAATGTAAATACTTGTTGTAAAATCTCTATTTTACAGTTTTAGTATCAAACTATCAATCAAAAACCTGTCCAATTGAAGGCAATTAAGTTGTCTAAAATACCAGGCTGATAAAAAGATATCATGGATTTAATTTCATAATGTCCATAATTACTTATGATCACCGTATATTCAATTCCCTTCAAATTAAATGTAGAATTGGGAGCAACATACATATTTTATAAGGTGAAATCACTAGAAAAATATTATTTTTTTTATGAATATTCTCAAAACAAATATTTGTAGAAATTTTTTATGAATTTTTTTCAATAAAAAATTTACAGAAACCTTTTACGAATTTTTTACAAAAAATAATTTACAGAAATTTCTAATAATTTTTTTATGAAAAATAATCTACAAGAAATTTTTGCAAATTTTACTACAATTTTGATGATCATAGAATTTTTTTATGGTAAAAATTTATAAAAAAAATGTGATAGAAATTTTATTTTATTTTTTGTGGATTTCTTACAAAAATAAATTCACAAGTAATATTTATCAATATTATAATAAATGGTAGAAAATTTTTGTAAATAATTTTTCTTTTGAATTTTTCTGCCAATTTTAATCCACGAGAAAAATTTAAAAATATTTAAATTTATAAATTTAATAATTAAAGTTTTAATTAAAAGATATTGTTTTACTAAATTATTTATAAATATATCATTATAATTAATTATAATTTTAAATTAAATATATAAATTTTGTAAACATATATGATAAATATTAATGATAATGAGTTTTAATTGAATGATAATTCATAAAATTTTAAAATTAAAAGTATCTACTTTTTTACTAAATTGTTTATAAATATTTCATAAAAATTAGTTTAAATTTAAAATATTAATTAATTCAACATTTATTTTAATTAAATGTATAGATTAATGATAAATGAGTTTTAAATTAATGATAGTTTTTAAAATAAAATTATTTAATAAAAAAATATTGTTTTTTTAATATTAAATATTTTAAGAGTTAATATAATTGTGTAGTTCATTGAATTAATTTTATTTCTATAGACATGATCTAATTAATTTTTAAAGAAAATCTTATGTTTCACGTTGATTAGAAATAAGACAATTAAAGAATATATAACTAGAGACAACACTCACCTTGCAACTTAATCTTGTAGATTGAGTTAGATCTATAACCTACATTCTAAAATTTCAAAAGGTCATCAATTGCATTCACAAAAATATACTCTCTCCATTTTTTTTGTTTGACATTTAAGGTTTATGTACAAAAATTAAGAAAATGATTGATATTTTAGCTTTTCAATTACTTACTTTTTTGTTATATCCTTTGGGTAGTTGGAGAAAAAATAGGTACATTAGAAATGAATAAACATATTGTTCAAAAAATACACATTAATTATCAAGGATAAAAATTTAAAAAAAATTTAATAAGTCATAAGTTTTAGAAAAATGACAATAAAAAAAGAAAAAAATAATGTCAAAATGATTATTAATAAAAAATGGAGGGAGTATTATCCACATAGATATTATCTGGAGTTAAAATTTTGTTAAAAAATTTGAAACAATCACATTTCTTATGAATTTTTATGTGAAATTCACATGAGAAATCGCATGTAAAAAGAAAAATTCTAATAATGTCACTTCTTTTAAATAACATATTTAATTTATTTTGAATTTCGCTAAAAGGTACGTAAGACATGTTATATGATGTGAAATGAATGATTTTTTAGCACGGTATTTAGGATGACAAAAATACCCGCCCCCGCGGGTATCTGTGGGTAAAATCCGCTACGGATAATAAATGGATAGGCTAATTGGATACCCGCGGATAGGGATGGCAACGGGGCTAGGCGGGTACGGGTTTCATGATACCCGTCCCCGTCCCCGCGAGTTAAACTCATCCCCGTCCCCGTCGTCGTACCCGTCAGGTATGTGATTTCATCCCCATCCCCGTCCCCGTCGGGTATCGGGTATACTCGTACTCGTACCCATACCCGTCAATTTTTTTATTTTTTATTTTTTATAAAAAAATATGATATTTTTAAAATTTTTTTTATTATATTATAATTATAATTAAGTTATTTCTCTATCTCATTTTATAATAAATAATCACACATAAAAAAATATTAAAATTTCTTAATATAATTAAATTGAAAGTGGATATTAAATTAAAAATGTAAACGGGGATGGGTACGGGTACGGGGCGGGTAAGTACATACTCGTACCCGTACCCGTACCCGATTTAAAGTATCGGGTTTTACCCGTACCTGTACCCGTACCCGTATCCGGTCAAACCGGGTATTTCCCGTCAAAGTCGGGACGGGTTCGGATATTACCCGCGGGTACGGGTATATTTACCATCCCTACCCGCGGATAATGGGGACGGATAATTTTTTACCCGTTTTCTTTTTTGGATAAGATAATTCAAAGTGGTTACAACTTTGTTACTACTACCATGTTTTTATATTGATTATTATTCATGAATGAATGAGAAGTTCCTCATTTATAAACTTATCAGACTGCAACAGCCATAACATAACATTAAATTCAACTCTTTGCCCCATTGACTGCTATTGTCATTGTCACGGCATTGGTTGACTTGATCAACTTTGGCAAATTGAATGCATGCATTAATTTTTCCGCCGTCTGCTTTGACTAACGCGTTTCATTTTAGAAATTTTTGTCACTGATGATGATGTTTCGGAGGGGCCACAAGAAGTTTAGAGATCATAAGGAGTTTCAAGGAAACAACGAACCAGAAGATTGCTTACATTTATTATACTTTTTTGTTAAGTTTGGACCATGTTGTGTGAGTCGGAGATTTTTTCACGGTTTCTTTCTAAATGTATATAAGCAGTAGAGGAGGGAAGAGAGAAGAGAATAAAAGTTATGGAGAGAAAATTATGAATACTGAACTCAATTGAATGATTCTATATGATAGTCACGATACATAGTAACTGTTGTTACATGGTTACTAGTAACAGAAAACAAAAAGATAACTAACAGTAGTTCAGAAACTAACTCATCCATTTACACTTTCTGTGTTTTCGATTGATTGGTTGCTGTGTATATGATCGACCGTTGAAAATATTGATAGCAGAAGAACAAGAAGGGTGGTTTAATGGCTTAACAGTAGTAGTAATTATTGTATTTGGTTTGTTCTGTTCGCCAGTTTTGGAACATGAACATGTTCCCTTACTCCCAGTTTGTTGAAATTGCCCTTGAAGACACATTGTTGGAGAATGGGTTTGAGCAAAGGTGAGGATGGAATTCTTAGAGCGGTAGATTTCTATTTATTTATAATTTTTATATAGTTAATTTGGGGGAAAAAATATGTTGTTGAAAAATCTAGCCTCAACAATACCAGTTGCTATTGTCTCCTCAACAATAAATTTATTGTTTGTTTATTAATTTATAATGCATTATTTTTCCTAACTCATGTATCGTTGATTTATTATAAATAATATATATCATTACATGTTAATATATCATATATTTATGTTTAAAAATTAAAGATTAGGCTTAAATATATTTAAACTAACTACCTCAAATTAACTCGATTTTCAAATTACTACTTTAAAATTTTTTTTTTAAATTACCTGACTAATATATATTTTTTTGGCTAAATACTTATTTTGGTCCCTTATAATCTTTTTTTGTTTCAATGTAGTCCCTCATTAATTTTTTGTTTCAATTTGGTCTTAAACTAATTAATTAGTTTCAATTTAGTCCCAAATTAATTAATTGGTTTCAATGTGAGACTTCCATCCAAATTATTTAAACGGAATTAAATTTTGGTCACGTGGATGCATACGTGGATGCCACGTGGATGAAAATTTTGTTGAAAACACCTGGACCCAGAACGGCCCATTCTGAAATCGGAACGGGCCGTTCTGGTTGCACTTTTGGTGTGTTAATTTTGCATCCGGAACGGCCCGTTCCAGGTGCAACATTAACACACTAAAACCTTCGATTTTGTTGTAAGAGATGGCTAGGCTCTCTAATTGGGTAAGATTTCCAAGTGAAGGAGGTATCTTACCATAAAAAGCATTGCCAGAAAAGTCGAGATGGGTGAGTCTAGGAAGATTTCCAATTTCGGATTGGATATGCAAGCTCTGGTGGTAATTAGGGATGATAGAGGTTAGGGAACCACTGAGGAGATTCCAAGAAATGTCAAGCTCTTCTAGTTTTGTGAGATTTGTAAGTGAAATGGGCAATGTCCCATTGATTTGATTGAGAGATAGATCCAATACAGCAAGATTTTTCAGCAAAAACAATTCTTGAGGAATGGATCCTTGAATGTTGGTGTCAAAGATGATTAGACTCTCTAATTGGGTAAGATTTCCCAGTGAATGAGGTATCTCACCGTGAAGAGAATTGGAGGACAATTGAAGATGAGTGAGTTTGGGGAGATTACCAATTTCAGGTGGAATAGTCCCTGTTAGTCTACAGTTGACAACCTCTAGCCTTTCCAAATTCATGAAAACAGATAGGTTTAGTGTTGCAAATTGAATCCCTGCATCATAACACGGATATCCGATTCTAGTTACACTTCCAGCTTTGTTGCAAACGATACCCTCCCACGAACAGATATTCTTTGGATTTGACTTCGACCCATTCCACCATCTACTATTGATTATAGCATTTGATTCCAATTGAAGCTGCAGTGGTGCAGATCCAGCTTCTATCTCCAATACAATCCCCATAATAACCATACCACACATGACAAAAGTGGGGCCATGGAAATTAGAAACAAAAAACTGCATCGTATCCTTTGCATACCAAAATATTTATACTGAGCTATATATGAGCTTCTGAGATTTATCAGAAACTAAACTTTTATTATGTTCTGGGAGGACTACCATAGTTGGTCACTCTTTTATTCTAACTCCCCAGCTAGACTATCTTAGAATAGTAGATTAAGTCTAACTCAATCTTACAAAATCGACTAGTAAGGTGAGAGTTACTTTTCACTTATATACTATTTAATTGCCTAATCTCTAGTCGACGTGGGACTTGGGTTTTTCTCAATACACCCCCCTCACATCCAGCATTATTGGACTTGGTACGTGGATAAATGGTAGGTGGTCCTTTTTAATGTCTAGGATTGGCGAGACTTGAATACACCCCCATGCCCATGGTGCATGTATCAATGAATGGTGGGTGACCCATTTTTAAGAATCTAGAATAGCTCTGATAGCATCTTAGAATAGTAGATTAAGCCTAACTCAACCCTACAAAATCGGTTTGTAAGGTGAGGGTTGCCTTATCCTATTGCACAATATATTAGTTATGATAATTTTTCCTCATCACACAAGGCTTTTCTTTCTGCCATCATATCTCATGATGAGCCTAGAAATTTTTCTCAAGCTGTAAAGCATCCAGAATGGCATGAGGCCATGGCTCAAGAAATACAAGCACTAGAAGCAAACCAGACTTGGACTTTGGAAGCACTTCCACAAGGCAAGAAGCTGGTTGGATGTAAATGGGTATATAAAATTAAGTATAAGGCAAACGATGAGATAGATAAATATAAAGCACACCTCATTGCTAAAGGATACACTCAAGTTGAGGGTGAGGACTTTACAAAGACTTTCACTCCAGTTGCAAAAATGAAAACAGTGCGTTGTTTATTAACAGTAGTAGCAACCAAAGGTTGGCAACTACATCAAATGGATGTTAGCAATGCATTCCTTCATGGGGAGTAATATGAAGAAGTCTATATGGCAATTCCTCCCAGATATGCAGTCACCAATACCAAACATGTGTGTCGCTTAAGGAAGTCCATATACGGATTAAAACAAGCATCAAGGAGTTGGTATACAAAATTGTCACGGGCATTGATACGGTATGGTTTCCAACAATGTCATTCTGATCATAGCCTGTTCACATACATTTCTGGGAATGTTTTTCTTGCCACACTGGTTTACGTGGATGACTTAATCATTGCTAGCAATGATCTTGGTACATGTGCTAGTTTCAAAGACTATCTCAGTAAATGCTTGCACATGAAAGATCTTGGGAAACTTAAATATTTCCTTGGCCTTGAGCTCTCATATGGAAACACATGTTTATTTTTATGCCACATTGGGAGGCAGCAACATGCATTCTTCGTTACTTGAAATCATCACCAGGACAAGGTATCATGATACTCGTCAACAATAATTTGCAGCTCGAAGATTTTTGTGATTCGGATTGGGCCTCTTGTCCCACTACAAGGCGGTCCATTTCTGGTTATATTGTCAAGCTAGGCTCAGTACCCATATCATGGAAAACGAAGAAACAAACTACTATTTCAAGATCCTCCAGTGAGGCTGAATATAGGGCAATGGCACATGCTACTAGTGAAATTATTTGGTTAAGAGGTTTGTTACGTGAACTTCAAGTTCCTTGTCAAGGTCCCACAACATTGTTTTGTGATAATCAGTCTGCGATTCACATAGCAGCAAATCCAGTGTTTCATGAGAGGACTAAGCACATTGAGATTGATTGTCATTTTATTAGAGAACATATACAAGCTGATACAATTGTTGCAACTTACTTGCCCACAAGGCAACAACTTGCAGATATATTCACAAAGGCATTAGGATGCAAACTTTTTCATGAACTATTATCCAAGTTGGGAGTTCATGATCTTCACTCTCCAACTTGAGGAGGGATAATGGAGATATTATCATTAGTTTGTTATCAGTTTGATTATATCATTAGTTTGTTATGTTTAGATTAGTTTGATATTATCTATATTTTGAATTTATATTTTAATTCTTCTGTACTCTTTTTTGGATAAGATAATTCAAAGTGGTTACAACTTTGTTACTACTACCATGTTTTTATATTGATTATTATTCATGAATGAATGAGAAGTTCCTCATTTATAAACTTATCAGACTGCAACAGCCATAACATAACATTAAATTCAACTCTTTGCCCCATTGACTGCTATTGTCATTGTCACGGCATTGGTTGACTTGATCAACTTTGGCAAATTGAATGCATGCATTAATTTTTCCGCCGTCTGCTTTGACTAACGCGTTTCATTTTAGAAATTTTTGTCACTGATGATGATGTTTCGGAGGGGCCACAAGAAGTTTAGAGATCATAAGGAGTTTCAAGGAAACAACGAACCAGAAGATTGCTTACATTTATTATACTTTTTTGTTAAGTTTGGACCATGTTGTGTGAGTCGGAGATTTTTTCACGGTTTCTTTCTAAATGTATATAAGCAGTAGAGGAGGGAAGAGAGAAGAGAATAAAAGAGATGGTGCAAACATATTGGACAATAAATATTAAGGAATATTATATAGTATGAAATGATTGAAACTTTTAGCACAGTATTTGTCATATATGTGATATAAGGGTGCAAACAAAATATACAATAAATGTTAAGGACAGCTTACTTATTTAATTTTCGGTAATATGTACGCAGTTACTAGTTAGCCAGCAATTAATATTCGGTGGTGTTTGGTGAACCTAAATTCAAAGTATTTATTTAGATCATCTACAGTTCTGAAATGAATTCCATCTATCCCATTCTTTGAATTATTTTATTAAATAATTAAGAAATTTATCTTTTAAAAATAGATTTAATAAATTTTGATATATGATATAAATTGTAACAATTCATTATAAAACGGCAGGGCCGCAGGGGGTCTCATTCCCTTTTGGAATTATCTTTATGGCTGAAAGGACACAAAGCTGCTTTTGCGGAATGTATGAATAGCAATAACTATATCATCAAAAATAAAATAAACTAAATAACTATATGTTGACTTTAAAACCGCGGGAGATGTTTTATAAAATTTGTTTAAAAAAAGGAAAAGAAAAAGTCATCATAAATCACTAGTAAATAAAGGTCAACGCATAACTTGTAATTTATATGTAGGAACACAATTCTTGTACAGTTTTTTTGCTTTTGTTATTAGGGAAAAAAATAGTCTATGAAGAAGAGTATTTTACTTATTGTATAACTATAAAAAAAATAATGTACGTAAAAATAACATAACAAATAATTGATAAATATTTGACAGGATAAATAACTGATAAAAATAAATAAATATGCTTCTCTTTACACATCAATTCCTATATATTAAATATGAAATTTTTATTTATACGAAAGTATTTTTAAAGACTTCTTTAATGAGAAGATTTTTAAAAATATTTTTAACTTCTTTTTTTTAATAAAATTTTTATTTATCATAATTATTTATAAGTTAAATTTTAATATTTTTAAAATAAATTATCAATAAATAATAATAATAATAATATTATAC